GGCATACAGAGCTACATTCCATTACCTCAGCTTACAACTCTTCATACGATGTCAGATTGTTGCGTGATTAACATAATAATGGTACTTGCTTGGAGCTCCATTCACAGTAAGAAACTATGTCAACACCTCTCAGTTAACAAAGTTAAATGTCACCTTCAGGTAGAGAAATATGGCGATTGTCGGTTGTCGGTAAGTATGTTTGTGTAACGAAACGTGTCTAAGACTAAAGATCTTACTCACGCAGCTTCATCCAAATTTGAAATCTACCTGCTTTTTGCTGGTTTGTTGTTCTCAAGCTTCATTTAAGCTGAAGATAACTATGGAACCTAGGGCCTTGTACATTATATTAGTCGAGAAAATTCCTAATAGCTGCCACAGGAAGGTTAGTCTCCTTTCCTACAAACTGGAATGATAGATTTATCTGATAGAGATGTTTCTGCTTTCCATACACTGGTTGTTATCTTAGTTACTTTAATCAATCAATCTAACGGTAACGAGTTGATCAATAACTAGGTGTCTGGAAACTGAGATGAATACTAACCGATGACATGTAACCCTGAGTTGCCCATAAGTCATTCTTATTTGGGATGACTTGACCAGGTCATCTAAGCTGTTTTTGTCCTGTACATTCCCATATATATTTTTTATTGAATGTATTATCTCTATTAAAGCTTTTCTATCATACATATCAGCGCAATTAAAGTTGTGTAACCGTATTGACATGATTTTGAGCAATAAAATGTTCTCGAAATGCCGTCAGTAAATGATACTATTTCACTTTGTGATATACGTAAGAAAATAAGCATTATATAACTATACTCTTCCATCATGCCACAATTCTACTCTTATATTAATAACTACACTTATACTGGGTGAGGGTTGAAGGTAAAATGGAAATTTGGACGGCCATCGGGTTCGAACTAATTACCACCGGGTTTCCGGACAGAGGCTCTACTGGCCGAGCTACGAGGTCGGATTGCTAACCAGATTTTTATTTCACTTCAATCGCCATGGGTTTTGTTCGGCTACCGTATGAATTTGTGACGCGTTACAACAGCTTAATCGTATTCACACTGGCTGCCTAGTCAGGACTTCTCATCCCAATCGTAATCTAACTGAATTAGAGAGACCGAGCATCATACTGATTGTCATTTTCACTGAGATAGCCAGTATAAATACTAGTCTGCCAAACCATGGTTCAGATAGTTAAAATGATAACCAATAACTACATTATTCATTTGATTTTCTGACCCAAGCAGATTTGTCTTCTCTTTAGTAGTTAGTGTAACCTCGCCTGGTTAACTAGTTTACTAGTTACTAACCGGTCCTAAGCCCGGGTAAACAGGGAAGGTTGGGCATAGGGCTAGCAACCCTACCCCGTAAAACAAATCTAACCGCTAAAGAAACTTCAAAGCACAAACAAAATATAAAAAATGAAAACAAACTTATTCCCTGCTGGAATCGGAGAGGCGAAATGACGCCAGTTGGTGAAAGCCTTCGGGAAGCCAATTGCCTGGGCCGATGTGTCTTCTCACTCTCGATGAAAGCGAAAGTAGACGTGGGGACATGGAATGTCCGCACTATGTTTGAACCTAGCTGGTAAGGCAGCCCAGATTGCAAAGGAGATGAGAAGGTATAACATCGAATTGCTTGGGATTTGCGAAAGCAGATGGAATGGGAGTGGACTCTCCAAACTGTCAACTGGAGAATCAATAATCTACTCCGTTACTGTCATCCAGACGACAACCACGAGCACAGTGAGGGAGTGCCTATCATGATGTCCTCAACAGCATCGAAGGCTCTCATGCAGTGGGAACCAATCTCCTCCAGGATCATGACAGCAAGATTCAACTCAAAAGGAAGGAAGGTCACAATCATACAATGCCTGGCTATGCACCTACAAATAATGCAGAGCAAGAGAAGAAGGAGGAATTCTACAGACAACTTCAATCAACACTGGACAAGACGTCAGTTGGCGATATCAAAATTCTAATGGGCAGGGTGACATGAATGCCAAACTGGGAGGGGACAACACAGGAAGAGAACTAACCATGGGTCGAGAAGTGCTCGGTGAGGTGATGAATGAGAATGGAGAATTGTTTGCAGAATTCTGTGCATTCAACGATTTGGTGATTGGAGGCAGTGTGTTCAGGCACAAAGATATCCACAAAGCGACATGGATTTCACCAGATGGACAAACTAAAAATCAAATCGACTTTATCTCAATCTCAAGAAAATGGAGACGCAGTCTACTTAACACAAGGTCAAGAAGAGGAGCAGATGTAGGCTCAGACCACTATCTAGTGCAAGGAACCTTCCAAATCAAGTTAAAAGCCTTCAAGGAAGCTGGTGATAGACCTCAATTCAAGTACAACACTCGGAAACTGAAGGATGAAACTACAAAGGAGATCTTCAAGGCAGCCATCAAGACAAAATGGGAGACATCGAGCAACATCCCTGAAGAAACCTGTGTGGAAGAACACTGGAAGTCTTTGAAAGCTATGTGGAAAGAGACCTGCACAACAGTATTAGGAAGGAAGAAGAAAGAAGACGGGACAAGGGATGGATCTCGACGGATACCTGGAAGCTGATAGAGCAGGGAGAGGAGGATGATGAAGCAGAAGATAAACCAGTGCAAGGATGCTCAACGACAAGAGGAACTGAGCACAATGTATAAAACACTGGATAAAGAAGTGAAGAAGAGTGCACGCAAAGACAAAAGACACTTCTACGAAACACTGGCAAGTGAAGCAGAACAGGCTGCAGGTAAGAGAGACCTGACGACATTGTATCAAATAACCAGGTTGCTATCAGGGAAGAGACCAACACAGATGAAACCAATAAAAGACGAAGAAGGAAATTTAATTACGAAAGAAGAGAAACAGAGGAAACGATGGGCCGACCACTTCAAGAAGCTCTTGAATCGACCACCACCTGCACTTCGTCCAGAAATAACACCTGCAGCCGCTGAATTACAAGTGAACATTAATCCCCCAACGAAAATGGAAGTCGTGAACGCCATAAAGCTACTGAAATGCGGGAAAGCAACAGGACCAGATGGGATACCGCCAGAAGCACTGAGAACAGATGCAGAGACAACAGCGGACATGCTCACACCACTATTGCAGAAGGTGTGGAAGGAAGAGAAGGTACCTGACGATTGGAAGAAGGGTTACCTTGTCAAACTGCCGAAGAAGGGAGACCTCAGTGCTTGCAAGAACTGGAGCGAAATCACCCTCCTGTCCACCCCAAGTAAAATATTAAGCCGCATCATCCTAGAGAGGCTTAAAGATGCACTGGATTCAAAACTACGACCGGAACAGGCAGGCTTCAGGAAGTACAAATCATGTGCAGACTAAATTGCAACGCTTCGTATCATCATAGAACAGAGCATAGAATGGCAATCAGCTCTCTACCTCAACTTCATCGACTTTGAGAAGGCCTTTGACAGCGTCGACCGAGAAGTAATTTGGAAACTGCTTCATTACTACGGAGTACCGCAAACCTTTATCCGCCTCATTCAACAACTATATGAAGATGCCACATGCCAAGTAATCCACAATGGGAAGCTCAGTGATGCCTTTGAAGTGAAGACAGGAGTGAAACAAGGTTGCCTACTATCTCCCATGATATTCCTTATTGTGGTGGACTGGATCATGCAGCAAACAGTAGGCAGCGAGAAGAGGGGGATACACTGGACGGCGGAAAAGAACCTAGAAGACTTGGATTTCGCCAACGATGACTTGTGCCTGATGTCACATAAACTTGAAGATCTTCAGGCGAAAACTAACAAGTTGGCAGAAGAGACAGGGCAGCGAAGGAAGACGGGACTTCAAGTGAATATGGAGAAGACAGAGGTGATGAAGATACCGCACCACCACCAACAACAACAAACTCCAGTCACCATCAACGGGAGAAACTTAAAGGAAGTAACCTCCTTCACTTATCTAGGAAGCACTGTTTCAACTACAGGCGGGACGGACGAGGACGTCAAAGTCAGAATCGGAAAAGCAAGACAGGCGTTCATTAGCCTGAAACCAGTGTGGAGATCTTCTGCACTCAGCATGTGGAACAAGATACGGATTTTCAACACCAACGTCAAGTCAGTGCTTTTGTATGGCTCAGAGACTTGGCGCGTCACGAAAGGCATTTCCAATAAACTACAGACATTCATCAACAACTGCTTACGCTCGCTGCTGAAGATCAGATGGCCAGAAAAAATAAGCAACAAGGAACTCTGGGAACGAACCAACCAAGAACCTATCACCCAACAAATATGCAGGAAGAAGTGGAGATGGATTGGCCATGCACTGAGAAGGCCGACTGAGGACATCACGCGTCAGGCCAGTTGCTCGAGTGGAATCCCCATGGGAAGCGACGAGTTGGACGTCCGAGGGTGACATGGAGGAGGTCGTGCGAAGAGGAAATGAGAGGTTGTGGGCTGTCGTGGGACCAGGTCCAAAAGATCTCAGAGAACAGAGGTCACTGGAGGCGTGCTACTGAAGCCCTATGTTCCACTAGGAACCCAGTGGACTAATAATAATAAATAATAATTAGTAGTTAGTGTGAGGATTATTACATTTGGATTCATTTCGTACATGAGAACTAGCCTCAGTACAATATCGGTAATTTTGTAGAACTATCCCCAAGGACGGTTACGTATTATCGCTTCATATGTTTTCGAGCAATTAAAAATTCTGTTATCAAGAAATGACACTATGATTCAGCTATTTTATTTTCCAGTCCGATTTTTGACGCTTTGAAAAATTGCCATTTCAATGGTCCAATAGGAAATACAAATTTCACTGTACAGTGTGCAAGGGGACATGTTATTTTATCTCACGGATTGTGAATTGGTTTGAACAGTTAGTATGCTCTAAGCAATATAATCTCTAACCCTATGGAAAATAATGGTATCCAATTCACCAATGGCAATAGTAATTTCAACCAATCACAAACTAGATAAAAATAGGTGTTGATGGACGTAACATGTTAGCGGTTAAAAAAGGAGGTTGTATCTTCTGTCATCGGATTTTTAGATGGACTAAATGTGAGAATAAATATCTCCAATAAAGCAGGTTGTTCTGTGAATTCATAGAGTAGGTGAGCAAGTTTAACAAACTATTATTTGTATTTTATAAAATGGTCCTGTTCAAAACCCAATAGTAAGTGACAGCATTTTAAATTGAACATAAACGTGTCCCCTACACTTTAAGATCTAAAAATGTATATGAAACCATTTGTTAATCTGGATTCAAAAGATATTTGTTTCCATGATAAATCCAGTGGACAAAAAAGCCTGTTGAATGTGGAATTTAACGGAAACCCTCTTTTGTTTTAATTTGCGAATGTCTAACAACACCCAGTCTCTACTTCATCCTTTATTTCTTCCTGCAGAAGAGTTACAGGTAGATTTCTCTATTTCTAGTTTCATTATCGTTCTCTGTCTGCTATTGATTTACCCCTACCACATGCGACAATCCTGTTAGCAGCTAGTTGAGTCAGGATTTATCTAACTGCAGTAGATAGTCTTTAAGTATCTTGTGTTTATTTATGAGGGGTTTGTATTGACTTGACTATTAGTTTCATACCGAAGAAAAATATCGTGTTTGTTTTGTAGCAAAATGTACGCTCTTTCAAAAAGAGTTCATTTGCACTAAAAATCACATCCATTTGATGAAATGGAAGTGTCTTATTCCGTCTTAGGAGAAATGCAGGTTTTAGGCCATGTTCGAACAAATCGATGTAATATCACCTGCATTTTTTTATGGTACACCTTGAACAGTGAATCATCATTGTGAAGTAACAAGCATTGTTTTGTCTAGTCCTAAATGCTAACTGATTTCTATCGATTCCCTTCTCACTTAGTTCTCAAGCTATGGGAAACAATGTTGTGATAAATTTTTCGTTGTTTTAAATGACCAAAGATCAACTATTATAATCTTCGTTCGATATGGGTTTTCTTGCTTTTCGATATCAGTCAGTAGGGTATGCTTACAATTGATGCATCCTCACAGATATGAGCCTACATCAACATGCAGTACGGTTGATGACAGAGTACCATTGGGATATTCGGTATGGTGTTTTCGTTCCCATCTATGATCCTATTCATGATATCTTTTTAAATAAAATGTCACCTGTTTTTGAAATGAGACATGTTTCCAGTTCTGTCATCATTATTACAATTGTTATGCCTGTCAGTTAGATCCATTTGTCTTGTAGAGCAAAAGAGAAGATGGTGTACAGAAAGATCCTATCGGTAGATCAACACACACATTTCCTTAGCCCTTTACTTATTCGGTATAAAATACACCTACTTAAATGAATTGTAAGTGGACCGATAGGACCGTGTTCCCACTATCTGAAACATAATGATAACTCTCAGATTGAAATACCTTATCCAAACAGTTTAACAAAGTCCACACGGGCAAAGTAAGAGGAACAAAATCTTAATTAGCATTTCAAAGAAACCGCTGGTTATGAAAGTACATTCAATGAAGGTGTAGCCAGTGGTGTTATATATATATATATATATATATATATATATATATATATATATATATATATATATATATATATATCCATTCAGAGGACTCTCTACACCAATGAAATCTTTATTAATATGGGTGCAAACGGAGCTAATATGGAACTAATGAAATTACTTTCTAATCAATCTATCGTTGTTGCACGGATGAAAGAGCCTTTACCAGCTTCTACCATTTCTATGAGCATTTACAAGTTTAGCGTCTTCTGAGATGCAAACTGTAAAGGGTATACTGCTATGCAGCTAAAAAGATTTTTAGGAATGGAGAAATTCAAAAGACGCTCAGTTTTGTCGCATTTGAGAGATACTGTTCATATTTCAATGTAAAACTTGGGCGCTGTGGTAGAATTTAATTCCATATTTGTTTTTTTAATTTCATGTGTAACATACAGTGATACAGCATTATTTACTTGGTGATATTTCCAGCATAAATTATTGCTCATAATCATATCAATGTAATCACACCATTTTAAACAACCGATTTTTAAAGTCCTGTCATTTCATTTTATTTGTTTTCATTGGTAATAAAATTTTCTATATCTATGGTATAGGTTTTGCATCATTTCTATTACATGTGCTGGATGTTGATTCGGCAAATGAAGACTCAGTGGTCAATCTCTTTCCCCACCTAACTATATTGGAGTTAAGTACAGTAGATGACACATTTACTGCCTTGAAATCTGAACATATCGACCATTTCCTCATACATACAAACTCAGTAGTAAGTGCAATCTAATTCACTTACAAGGTAAAAAATGAACAAAGAGAATTGCCTATGTTGGATTGGAGAATAAAACGAAGAACAGATGGTGGCTTGGATACTACTGTCTACAGAAAATCGACACATTCTAACAGGTATCTAGACTTCAAATCATCCCATCCAATGTCATTTGAGGCAGAGTTAGTCAAATGTCTAAATGATAGAGCCAGAATACTGACTAGTCAGAGCAAGAACCTAAACAAGGAATTGAAACACGTAAAAAAGCTCCAATAGTTAATAATTATCCTCTGCAGTTTATAAAGGAGTTCTTACGGATATACAATAAACGAAAAAATAACAGTCACACGAGTGCGACCAATAACGACAGCACGAGTAAAAAGGAGTTCACAGCCTCCATTGTATTACCCTATGAGGAGTGAACCCCAGAAGCTTTACGTAGAATCCTCAACAAAGCGGAATTAGGGTGGCATTTAAACCTACAAATTCACTCAGAGACAAACTTTGTCGGCTTAAGGATCCGATAGAACCAATTAAGCAAAATAATATAATCTATTAAATTCCATGTAATGACTGTGAGGTCAAGTATATAGGTCAAACTAGTCAATCAAGGTCAGTTAGAATAGCCGAACACAGGAATTTATCGAAATATAGAATAACAGACCTAAATTAGATCAATAATCTAGAAAAAATTCGGCTATTGCTATACATGCAATAACATACAACCATACAATAGGGTCGGATAAGGCCCCTGACTTAAGTCCAAGATAACTGAATCTTTGTTCATTAAATCAACACGCAACACATGTAATAGAAATGACACAACACCTATACCAGAGATATGGAAAATTTTGCTACCAATAAAAACAACTCATATAAAGTAACATAATTATAAAAATCTAATGTCGAAAGTAGTGTGATAACATTGATATGATTATGAGCAATAGTCTACGCTCGAAACGTCATCAAGTAAATAATTCTAGATCACTGTGTGTTATAAATTAAATAAACAAATCTAATATAGAATTAAATTCTACCACATCGCCAAAGTTTTGCACCTACATTAATGAAACAGTAGTTTTATCCCAACCAGCCTACTGTGTGGTTGTGTTAATGTATGCACTGCATCATACGAGTTGTTTTCTAGATTGCTGATCCTTTTGGAATCTGTCATTTTATATTTGGCTTGATATCTATGTTCTGATAATCTAACTACCTTAACCGGCTAGTTTGACCTGTGTACTTGATCTCACTGCTATTCCACAGAATTTCGTAGATTAGATTATTTTGCAGAATTGGATATATTAGATCCTTAAGCCAACAAAGTTTATCTACAAGTTAGTTTATAGGTTTAAATAGCATCCTAATTCCATCTTTGTTGAGAATCCACACGTAAATTTTCTGGTGTTCCTTCCTTATATGGTAGCACAAGAGAGGTTTCGGACTCCTTCCCACGCGTGTTGTCGCTGCTATTCGTATTCGTATTACTGTTATTATTAACGTTTCCCATGTGTTCGTACGAATCCCCTAATAAATGGTAGAGGATAATTATTAATTGTTGAGGCATCTTTTATGTGTTCCAATTCCTTGTTTTCTAGCTTTGTTATTTATATAATGACTTAACCTGCCCTAACTGGCATTGGATGAGATGATCTGAAGTCTAGATACCTGTTAGAATGTGTCAGTTTCCTATCTGTTCTTCGTTTTATTCTCCAATCCAACATAGCTAGTTCTTCCTGTTTACTTTCTACCTGGTAAGTGAATTGGATTGCGCCTACTACTGAGTTCATGTGTGAGGAAGCTGTCGACATATTTGAATTTCAACACAGTAAATATGTCATCCACATATTGTAGGATTGCATGTCCTTTAAGTCATTTTTTCTCAACTGTCCACAAATATACCTGCTGGAATTGGGGACATTAGTGATCCCATCCATCCAGAATTTTTCTTCCCAGCTTACAAGGACGAAACAGCTACCCAGTGCTACTAGGTTTCCAATGTTCCTCGAACTGATATCAGTCCATGATGAATACCAACTTGAAAAATCACTAAATTCCCACAAACTCCGAAACTGAATACCACTCTGAAATCGATCGATCTCCGCAAACCTCTAAATTGAATTAATGCCCAATGCTAGTTTGGATAGACTTTGATTATCCGCTGAATTCATCTTCTAATATTAGACAATTTTCACTCTTTCCAATTTTTTGTGACCCGTTTTGACCATCGGAGAGTCCACATTCTCCCACTATTTCTTTTGTTCTTACCATTACTTGCTTTAAAACTGGTATGACCAACATGGTAACCATAACTGTTAAGATTATTATTATTATCTGCTAATTCATGAAACATTAACTTCGGTCAACAAAGCTGTATATTGAGTTATTCATATTAGAGTAAAGGATGAGAAGGAACAAACTGATATGTTTTGATTTAAACTGATTTTATTGGAACCATCTGCCCTGTTCTTGTGAAAGATTACTTGGTTCTGTTCTTTCTGTTGATTATCACAACCAAGGTTTCATAAAATACTCATACTATATATTTTAGCAGTACAGAGTTCTATGACATAGATGAACTTACTTATTCCTGCTTACATGAAGTGACTACTGCATGGCAACTGTTGTAGCCGTCAAGTCCTAAGTGCTAAACACTGACGAAAGTTTATCGAAGAGGTTCTACTATATGACCACCCAGGTAACTGATTCAATACTATAGTTAACTATACTTGATGTTAAATGTTCTTAATCAGTTAGCAGGAAGCTGCGGACATAAACTTCGGGTTTTTTCACACTAATCATGAAGGTGTCTCCTCAACGAAGAGGACCTATGTTCGACCA